GAGAAGCCTCTTTCATGGTTCATCAGACTGATTCATGATACTTGCATTCATTTGAATAAATCTATGTTGCTCCTCTGCTTATTCCACTCTAATTCTACAATGAGCTCTATTGATGAGAAGCCTCTTTCATGGTTCATCAGACTGATTCATGATACTTGCATTCATTTGAATAAATCTATGTTGCTCCTCTGCTTATTCCACTCTAATTCTACAATGAACCCTATTGATGAGAAGCCTCTTTCATGGTTCATCAGACTGATTCATGATACTTGCATTCATTTGAATAAATCTATGTTGCTCCTCTGCTTATTCCACTCTAATTCTACAATGAGCTCTATTGATGAGAAGCCTCTTTCATGGTTCATCAGACTGATTCATGATACTTGCATTCATTTGAATAAATCTATGTTGCTCCTCTGCTTATTCCACTCTAATTCTACAATGAGCTCTATTGATGAGAAGCCTCTTTCATGGTTCATCAGACTCATGATACTTGATTCATTTGAATAAATCTATGTTGCTCCTCTGCTATTCATTTGATTCTATAAATGAGCTATGTTGAGAAGCCTCTTTCATGGTTCATCAGACTGATTCATGATACTTGCATTCATTTGAATAAATCTATGTTGCTATTCCATTCTACAATGAGCTCTATTGATGAGAAGCCTCTTTCATGGTTCATCAGACTGATTCATGATACTTGCATTCATTTGAATAAATCTATGTTGCTCCTCTGCTTATTCCACTCTAATTCTACAATGAGCTCTATTGATGAGAAGCCTCTTTCATGGTTCATCAGACTGATTCATGATACTTGCATTCATTTGAATAAATCTATGTTGCTCCTCTGCTTATTCCACTCTAATTCTACAATGAGCTCTATTGATGAGAAGCCTCTTTCATGGTTCATCAGACTGATTCATGATACTTGCATTCATTTGAATAAATCTATGTTGCTCCTCTGCTTATTCCACTCTAATTCTACAATGAGCTCTATTGATGAGAATCTCTTTCATGGTTCATCAGACTGATTCATGATACTTGCATTCATTTGAATAAATCTATGTTGCTCCTCTGCTTATTCCAATCTAATTCTACAATGAGCTCTATTGATGAGAAGCCTCTTTCATTGGTTCATCAGACTGATTCATGATACTTGCATTCATTTGAATAAATCTATGTTGCTCTCTTTATTCCATGGTTCATCATCAGACTGATTCATGATACTTGCATTCATTTGAATAAATCTATGTTGCTCCTCTGCTTATTCCACTCTAATTCTACAATGAGCTCTATTGATGAGAATCCTCTTTCATGGTTCATCAGACTGATTCATGATACTTGCATTCATTTGAATAAATCTATGTTGCTCCTCTGCTTATTCCTCTAATTCTTCAATGAACTCTATTGATGAGAAATCCTCTTTCCTTGGTTCATCAGACTGATTCATGATACTTTCGCATTCATTTGAATAAATCTATGTTTGCTCCTCTGCTTATTCCACTCTAATTCTAATGAACAATGAGCTCTATTGATGAGAAGCCTCTTTCATGGTTCATCAGACTGATTCATGATACTTGCATTCATTTGAATAAATCTATGTTGCTCCTCTGCTTATTCCACTCTAATTCTACAATGAGCTCTATTGATGAGAAGCCTCTTTCATGGTTCATCAGACTGATTCATGATACTTGCATTCATTTGAATAAATCTATGTTGCTCCTCTGCTTATTCCACTCTAATTCTACAATGAGCTCTATTGATGAGAAGCCTCTTTCATGGTTCATCAGACTGATTCATGATACTTGCATTCATTTGAATAAATCTATGTTGCTACTCTGCTTATTCCACTCTAATTCTACAATGAGCTCTATTGATGAGAAGCCTCTTCATGGTTCATCAGACTGATTCATGATACTTGCATTCATTTGAATAAATCTATGTTGCTCCTCTGCTTATTCCACTCTAATTCTACAATGAGCTCTATTGATGAGAAGAAGCTTTTCATGGTTCATCAGACTGATTCATGATACTTGCATTCATTTGAATAAATCTATGTTGCTCCTCTGCTTATTCCACTCTAATTCTACAATGAGCTCTATTGATGAGAAGCCTCTTTCATGGTTCATCAGACTGATTCATGATACTTGCATTCATTTGAATAAATCTATGTTGCTCTCCTGCTTATTCCTCTAATTCTACAATGAGCTCTATTGATGAGAAGCCTCTTTCATGGTTCATCAGACTGATTCATGATACTTGCATTCATTTGAATAAATCTATGTTGCTTATTCCTCTGCTTATTCCATGGTTCATCAGACTGATTCATGATAAATGATTTGAATAAATCTATTGATTCCAATTAAGCCTCTTTTTTCATGGTTCATCAGACTGATTCATGATACTTGCATTCATTTGAATAAATCTATGTTGCTCCTCTGCTTATTCCACTCTAATTCTGCAATGAGCTCTATTGATGAGAAGCCTCTTTCATGGTTCATCAGACTGATTCATGATACTTGCATTCATTTGAATAAATCTATGTTGCTCCTCTGCTTATTCCACTCTAATTCTACAATGAGCTCTATTGATGAGAAGCCTCTTTCATGGTTCATCAGACTGATTCATGATACTTGCATTCATTTGAATAAATCTATGTTGCTCCTCTGCTTATTCCACTCTAATTGCTCCTCTCTTATTCCACTCTTAATTCTACAATGAGCTCTATTGATGAGAAGCCTCTTTCATGGTTCATCAGACTGATTCATGATACTTGCATTCATTTGAATAAATCTATATTGCTCCTCTGCTTATTCCACTCTAATTCTACAATGAGCTCTATTGATGAGAAGCCTCTTTCATGGTTCATCAGACTGATTCATGATACTTGCATTCATTTGAATAAATCTATGTTTGCTCCTCTGCTTATTCCACTCTAATTCTACAATGAGCTCTATTGATGAGAAGCCTCTTTCATGGTTCATCAGACTGATTCATGATACTTGCATTCATTTGAATAAATCTATGTTGCTCCAATTTAATTCTGAGCTTATTCCACTCTAATTCTATCAATGATTCATGATACTCTGATTAAATCTATGTTGCTCTCTGCTTATTCCAGAGCCTATTGATGAGAAGCTTTTCATGGTTCATCAGACTGATTCATGATACTTGCATTCATTTGAATAAATCTATGTTGCTCCTCTGCTTATTCCACTCTAATTCTACAATGAGCTCTATTGATGAGAAGCCTCTTTCATGGTTCATCAGACTGATTCATGATACTTGCATTCATTTGAATAAATTCAATCAGACTGATTCATGATACTTGCATTCATTTTCATGATACTTGCAATAAATCTATGTTGCTCCTCTGCTTATTCCAATTCTCTAATTCTACAATGAGCTCTATTGATGAGAAGCCTCTTTCCAATTGGTTCATCAGACTGATTCATGATACTTGCATTCATTTGAATAAATCTATGTTGTTCCTCTGCTTATTCCACTCTAATTCTACAATGAGCTCTATTGATGAGAAGCCTCTTCATGGTTCATCAGACTGATTCATGATACTTGCATTCATTTGAATAAATCTATGTTGCTCCTCTGCTTATTCCACTCTAATTCTACAATGAGCTCTATTGATGAGAAGCCTCTTTCATGGTTCATCAGACTGATTCATGATACTTGCATTCATTTGAATAAATCTATGTTGCTCTCTGCTTATTCCACTCTAATTCTACAATGAGCTCTATTGATGAGAAGCCTCTTTCATGGTTCATCAGACTGATTCATGATACTTGCATTCATTTGAATAAATCTATGTTGCTCCTCTGCTTATTCCACTCTAATTCTACAATGAGCTCTATTGATGAGAAGCCTCTTTCATGGTTCATCAGACTGATTCATGATACTTGCATTCATTTGAATAAATCTATGTTGCTCCTCTGCTTATTCCACTCTAATTCTACAATGAGCTCTATTGATGAGAAGCCTCTTTCATGGTTCATCAGACTGATTCATGATACTTGCATTCATTTGAATAAATCTATGTTGCTCCTCTGCTTATTCCACTTAATTCTACAATGAGCTCTATTGATGAGAAGCCTCTTTCATGGTTCATCAGACTGATTCATGATACTTGCATTCATTTGAATAAATCTATGTTGCTCTGTCCTCTGCTTTGATTCTTTCATGGTTCATCAATTTATGAATGATTCATTTGAATAAATCTATTGATCTGATTCCACTCTAATTCCTCAATGAGCTCTTTGATGGTTCATCATCAGACTGATTCATGATACTTGCATTCATTTGAAAATCTATGTTGCTCTCTGCTTATTCCACTCTAATTCTCAATGAGCTCTATTGATGAGAAGCCTCCATGGTTCATCAGACTGATTCATGATACTTGCATTCATTTGAATAAATCTATGTTGCTCTGCTTATTCCAATCTAATTTACAATGAGCTCTTTGATGAGAAGCTCTTCATGGTTCATCAGACTGATTCATGATACTTGCATTCATTTGAATAAATCTATGTTGCTCCTCTGCTTATTCCACTCTAATTCTACAATGAGCTCTATTGATGAGAAGCCTCTTTCATGGTTCATCAGACTGATTCATGATACTTGCATTCATTTGAATAAATCTATGTTGCTCCTTCTGCTTATTCCACTCTAATTCATATCAATGAGCTCTATTGATGAGAAGCCTCTTCATGGTTCATCAGACTGATTCATGATACTTGCATTTGAATAAATCATTTGATTCCACTCTAATTCTATGAGCTATGTTTCATGGTTCATCAGACTGATTCATGATACTTGCATTCATTTGAATAAATCCATGTTGCTCCTCTGCTTATTCCACTCTAATTCTACAATGAGCTCTATTGATGAGAAGCCTCTTTCATGGTTCATCAGACTGATTCATGATACTTGCATTCATTTGAATAAATCTATTGTTGCTCCTCTGCTTATTCCACTCTAATTCTACAATGAGCTCTATTGATGAGAAGCCTCTTTCATGGTTCATCAGACTGATTCATGATACTTGCATTCATTTGAATAAATCTATGTTGCTCCTCTGCTTATTCCAATTTAATTCTACAATGAGCTCTATTGATGAGAAGCCTCTTTCATGGTTCATCAGACTGATTCATGATACTTGCATTCATTTGAATAAATCTATGTTGCTCCTCTGCTTATTCCACTTTAATTCTACAATGAGCTCTATTGATGAGAAGCCTCTTTCATGGTTCATCAGACTGATTCATGATACTTGCATTCATTTGAATAAATCTATGTTGCTCCTCTGCTTATTCCACTCTAATTCTACAATGAGCTCTATTGATATTGATGAGAAGCCTCTTTCATGGTTCATCAGACTGATTCATGATACTTGCATTCATTTGAATAAATCTATGTTGCTCCTCTGCTTATTCCACTCTAATTCTACAATGAACTCTATTGATGAGAAGCCTCTTCATGGTTCATCAGACTGATTCATGATACTTGCATTCATTTGAATAAATCTATGTTGCTCCTCTGCTTATTCCACTAATTCTACAATGAGCTCTATTGATGAGAAGCCTCTTTCATGGTTCATCAGACTGATTCATGATACTTGCATTCATTTGAATAAATCTATGTTGCTCCTCTGCTTATTCCACTCTAATTCTACAATGAGCTCTATTGATGAGAAGCCTCTTTTCATGGTTCATCAGACTGATTCATGATACTTGCATTCATTTGAATAAATCTATGTTGCTCCTCTGCTTATTCCACTCTAATTCTACAATGAGCTCTATTGATGAGAAGCCCCTTTCATGGTTCATCAGACTGATTCATGATACTTGCATTCATTTGAATAAATCTATGTTGCTCCTCTGCTTATTCCACTCTAATTCTACAATGAGCTCTATTGATGAGAAGCCTCTTTCATGGTTCATCAGACTGATTCATGATACTTGCATTCATTTGAATAAATCTATGTTGCTCCTCTGCTTATTCCACTCTAATTCTACAATGAGCTCTATTGATGAGAAGCCTCTTTCATGGTTCATCAGACTGATTCATGATACTTGCATTCATTTGAATAAATCTATATTTGCTCCTCTGCTTATTCCACTCTAATTCTACAATGATGATGAGAAGCCTCTTCTGGTTCATCAGACTGATTCATGATAATTCATTTGAATAAATCTTTTCATTCCACTTAATTCTACAATGAACTTTCTATGATGAGAAGTTCATGGTTCAGACTGATTCATGATACTTGCATTCATTTGAATAAATCTATGTTGCTCCTCTGCTTATTCCACAATCTAATTCTACATCAATGATTCATGATCATTCATTGATGTTGAAGCCACTCTTTTACAATGGTTCATCAGAGAAGCTGATTCATGATACTTGCATTCATTTGAATAAATCTATGTTGCTCCTCTGCTTATTCCACTAATTCTACAATGAGCTCTATTGATGAGAAGCCTCTTTCATGGTTCATCAGACTGATTCATGATACTTGCATTCATTTGAATAAATCTATGTTGCTCCTCTGCTTATTCCACTTAATTCTGCAATGAGCTCTATTGATGAGAAGCCTCTTTCATGGTTCATCAGACTGATTCATGATACTTGCATTCATTTGAATAAATCTATGTTGCTCCTCTGCTTATTCCACTCTAATTCTACAATGAGCTTATTGATGAGAAGCCTCTTTCATGGTTCATCAGACTGATTCATGATACTTGCATTCATTTGAATAAATCTATGTTGCTCCTCTGCTTATTCCAATTCTAATTCTACAATGAGCTCTATTGATGAGAAGCCTCTTTCATGGTTCATCAGACTGATTCATGATACTTTCGCATTCATTTGAATAAATCTATGTTTGCTCCTCTGCTTATTCCACTCTAATTCTACAATGAGCTCTATTGATGAGAAGCCTCTTTCATGGTTCATCAGACTGATTCATGATACTTGCATTCATTTGAATAAATCTATGTTGCTCCTCTGCTTATTCCACTCTAATTCTACAATGAGCTCTATTGATGAGAAGCCTCTTTCATGGTTCATCAGACTGATTCATGATACTTGCATTCATTTGAATAAATCTATGTTGCTCCTCTGCTTATTCCAATTCTACAATGAGCTCTATTGATGAGAAGCCTTTCATTGTTGAGATTCATGATACCTCATTTGAATAAATCATGGTTCATTCCACTCTAATTCTACAATGAGCTCCTATTGATGAGAAGCCTCTTTCATGGTTCATCAGACTGATTCATGATACTTGCATTCATTTGAATAAATCTATGTTGCTCCTCTGCTTATTCCACTCTAATTCTGCAATGAGCTCTATTGATGAGAAGCCTCTTTCATGGTTCATCAGACTGATTCATGATACTTGCATTCATTTGAATAAATCTATGTTGCTCCTCTGCTTATTCCACTCTAATTCTGGCAATGAGCTCTATTGATGAGAAGCTCTTTCATGGTTCATCAGACTGATTCATGATACTTGCATTCATTTGAATAAATCTATGTTGCTCTCTGCTTATTCCAATTTCATTCTGCAATGAGCTCTATTGATGAGAAGCCTCTTCATGGTTCATCAGACTGATTCATGATACTTGCATTCATTTGAATAAATCTATGTTGCTCCTCTGCTTATTCCACTCTAATTCTACAATGACTCTATTGATGAGAAGCTCTATTGGTTCATCAGATGATTCATGAAGCATTCATTTGAATAAATTATGGTTCATCAGACTGATTCATGATACTTGCATTCATTTGAATAAATCTATGTTGCTCCTCTGCTTATTCCACTTTAATTCTACAATGAGCTCTATTGATGAGAAGCCTCTTTCATGGTTCATCAGACTGATTCATGATACTTGCATTCATTTGAATAAATCTTTCATGTTGACTGATTCTCTGCTTATTCCACTCTAATTCTGCAATGAGCTCTATTGATGAGAAGCCTCTTTCATGGTTCATCAGATTCTTACTGATTCATTTGATAAATTGTATTCTCCTCTGTTATTTGAATAAATCTATTGATGCTCTCTTTCATGGTTCATTGATTCCATACTTTCATTTAATAAATCTGTTTAAATGAGCCTCTAATTCTGCAATTGATGAGAAGCCTCTTTCATGGTTCATCAGACTGATTCATGATACTTGCATTCATTTGAATAAATCTATGTTGCTCTCTGCTTATTCCACTCTCATTCTGCAATGAGCTCTATTGATGAGAAGCCTCTTTCATGGTTCATCAGACTGATTCATGATACTTGCATTCATTTGAATAAATCTATGTTGCTCCTCTGCTTATTCCACTCTCATTCTGCAATGAGCTCTATTGATGAGAAGCCTCTTTCATGGTTCATCAGACTGATTCATGATACTTGCATTCATTTGAATAAATCTATGTTGCTCCTCTGCTTATTCCACTCTAATTCTACAATGAGCTCTATTGATGAGAAGCCTCTTTCATGGTTCATCAGACTGATTCATGATACTTGCATTCATTTGAATAAATCTATGTTTGCTCCTCTGCTTATTCCACTCTAATTCTACAATGAGCTCTATTGATGAGAAGCTCTTTCATGGTTCATCAGACTGATTCATGATACTTGCATTCATTTGAATAAATTCTGTTGCTCTCTGCTTATTCCATTTAATTCTACAATGAGCTCTATTGATAGAATCTTTCATGGTTCATCAGACTGATTCATCTACTTGCATTCATTTGAATAAATCTATGTTGCTCTGCTTATTCCTCTAATTCTACAATGAGCTCTATTGATGAGAAGCCTCTTTCATGGTTCATCAGACTGATTCATGATACTTGCATTCATTTGAATAAATCTATGTTGCTCCTCTGCTTATTCCACTCTAATTCTACAATGAGCTCTCTATTGATGAGAAGCCTCTTTCATGGTTCATCAGACTGATTCTTGCATTCATTGAATAAATCTATGTTGCTTCTGCTTATTCATTTTCTGCAATGAATAAATCTTTCATGGTTCATCAGCTCCTCTGCTTATTCCACTCTAATTCTGCAATGAGCTCTATTGATGAGAAGTTTTCTTTCATGGTTCATCAGACTGATTCATGATACTTGCATTCTACAATCTCTATTGATGATTTTCTTGGTTCACCCCACTGATTCATGATACTCATTTTTGAATAAATCTATGTTGCTCCTCTGCTTATTCCACTCTAATTCTGCAATGAGCTCTATTGATGAGAAGCCTCTTTCATGGTTCATCAGACTGATTCATGATACTTGCATTCATTTGAATAAATCTATGTTGCTCCTCTGCTTATTCCACTTAATTCTACAATGAGCTCTATTGATGAGAAGCCTCTTTCATGGTTCATCAGACTGATTCATGATACTTGCATTCATTTGAATAAATCTATGTTGGTTCATCCTGATTCATGTTTATTTTGAATAAATCCACTTTAATTCTACAATGAGCTCTATTGATGAGAAGCCTCTTTCATGGTTCATCAGACTGATTCATGATACTTGTATTCATTTGAATAAATCTATGTTGCTCCCTCTGCTTATTCCAATTTAATTCTACAAATGAGTTCTATTGATGAGAAGCCTTTCATGGTTCATCAGACTGATTCATGATACTTGCATTCATTTGAATAAATCTATGTTGCCTCTGCTTATTCCACTTTTCTGCAATGAGCCTATTGATGAGAAGCCTCTTTTCATGGTTCATCAGACTGATTCATGATACTTGCATTCATTTGAATAAATCTATGTTGCCACTCTGCTTATTCCATCAGACTCTAATTCTTCATTTGAATGAGCTCTATTGATGAAAGCCTCTTTCATGGTTCATCAGACTGATTCATGATACTTGCATTCATTTGAATAAATCTATGTTGCTCCTCTGCTTATTCCAATTTAATTCTACAATGAGCTCTATTGATGAGAAGCTTTTCCATGGTTCATCAGACTGATTCATGATATTCTTTGCATTCATTTGAATAAATCTATGTTGCTCCTCTGCTTATTCCACTCTAATTCTACAATGAGCTCTATTGATGAGAAGCCTCTTTCATGGTTCATCAGACTGATTCATGATACTTGCATTCATTTGAATAAATCTATGTTGCTCCTCTGCTTATTCCACTCTAATTCTACAATGAGCTCTATTGATGAGAAGAAGTTTTCATGGTTCATCAGACTGATTCATGATACTTGCATTCATTTGAATAAATCTATGTTGCTCCTCTGCTTATTCCAATTTAATTCTACAATGAGCTCTATTGATGAGAAGCCTTCTTTCATGGTTCATCAGACTGCATTCATTTGAATAAATCTGTTGCTCCTCTACTTTATTCCATTAATTCTACAATGAGCTCTATTGAAAAGCCCATTTCATCAGAATGAATGATGCATTCATTTGAATAAATCTATGTTGCTCCTCTGCTTATTCCACTTTAATTCTACAATGAGCTCCTATTG